GGGAACAGGAGGAAGCCAGGCAGACACCTGCAGTCTCTGCTGAGCTGCAGCCAGGGAACAGAGGGGAGGGGCCAAGCCTGCTATGGAGCGGAGAGCCCCGCCCAGCCCAGAGAGCATGCCAGGATGCTGGGGGAGTCTGGTTTAACTTAAACCAGTAAGGGGTCTGGGCCAGACATGGCATAAACCGGTTTGACCCAAATCAGTTATGTCTGATACCACACTCAACCAGGTTTTCTCAAACTGGTTTCAGCCATTTTCAAACTAGTGTATGTGCACTGAACATCTGTTCTGTTACAGGTTTGAACCAGTGTTTGATCACTTAAACCAGTTTATGTGTAATGTCTGTCCCTAGCCTTAGTGTTGAGATACTGGATTAAAATTACGTAAAAGAGAATTTTGTGTGTAAATTATGTGTGTCTAATTGTTGAGAAGAATCTGTCAAAAATACAAGTTTAACAGTACATTTCAGAACATGGCCATCAAAAGTCAAGTTACAGTAAAAACTGCTTTTACGACATCTTTTCTGAGATATCCCCAGAAAGTTATTTCTATGCATAAGAATAGACAAAAATTAAATAAGCTGTTTTTCAAAAGTACAGTTTCAATGCCTTGTTAAAAATTGAGGACTGCTCTTTAGCTTAGTCCAGAGATATACTGAGGTCTTATAATTCACTGCTTTTTAAGCACTTCAGTAAATGCTCAAACATCTTAAAAATTAGACCATTAGTTGCAGATTTGAATATAAGTATGTGAGCCCCAATCCTTCAATGTGCTAAGTACTTCTTGCAAAATTCAAGTGCCCTTAACTCCCATTCAATGAAGATTGTCATTCTGAAGATCAACCAGTCAGCATATATGTAACTTAAAGGCATGATGATAGGTAGTGGCCCCTCTCCTGCCTTATAGGTATATAAACTAAAAGTGCAATAATCTGAGAAAACCTTGAGTACGCCTAAAGAGCCATGCTGAAATGAAGCCAGGAAGCTTGAGGTTGAGCAGTCCCGGGAGAGACAGTTTTTGCATACTTGGCCTCTGCTGCCCCCCCACCCGCCCGATTCATAAATTAACAGGCTGGAGCCCTAGAATAGTTGAGTAAAAAATCGCTGTCCTGTCTCTTCCCTCCAACCTCCCCCCATCAACATAAACATTTCAGGGAACTGTCAGTTCACATCTTCTTTCCCAGGCCTTTTATGCAGAAGTCCATACCTAATATTTATAGATGTTTTCACACCCTTCATGCCTTTAATTGAAAATGTAGCAGACCTCCAATCATTCAGTTTATTCATTTGCTAACTTTTAGCTTTGATAAAAAGTGCTGGATTGCAAGTGAATTTGCAAGGAAATTCAACTTTTCCATTGACTTGGTTCTCAAGTAAAACTTTTTGATCCTTTTTTTTTTTCTTGTAGAAACTGCAATGAGAGTTTACTTTTAGTTACATAGACCAGAACTGTACATCTGGTGACTTACGGGTTGCATGCAACCTGCAAATGGTTAATTCGCAGCCCCCAGGCTCCGATCCAGCCACTGGTCCCACCAGCATTGCTCCAGCAACCAGGGTCTCCAAGCTTCTCTTTGCTCCTCTGGCTTTTACTTCTCGCCCCCGTGGGCCTCAGGGAGTTGAGTGGTGGGGCACAGCACAATCCATTATGCTACGGGAGTTTGTGGGCAAAGATAGTCATGCAGGGTTGTACATTAGGGGAGCCTGTGGCTGGGGAGCTGAGGATGAGGCCTGGGTGCATGGTGCAGCTGGGAGGGTGCCCATATGCCATGTAGCCCAGGGGGCCTGTGGTTTTTTCCAGTGTAGCCTTATAGCAACTTAGAAGTTGGACAGACCTGACTTAGACTTTCCGTAGTCTACAAATGTTCCATTTTAATAGATGCTGGAGTGAGTTTAACATCAAGTGTTATGTTTTTGTACTTTGTTTTCATTTATAGGTTAATTTTGAGTTTGTTTGACCAGTTTTAGGCTCATCATTTATTTGGTATAGAAAGAAGTCCTGAATAAACAAGCAAATAATGAACTTTTGCTTACTGTACCAAATAAACAGAGCCAGCCAGCAGCATTATGCTTTAACATTCTAGGGTCATTGATGCATTTTACTGAAAATTTCTAAAATAGAGTGTGATAGCAGCTCTACCATGTTAAAGTTGTGTTGCAGAGCTCAATTGTAATTGTAATCTAAATGAAGAATATAAATCCTGACTGCTGTTCCACAGAATCATAGAAACGTAGGGCTGTAAAGGACCTCAGGAGGTCATCTGGGACGCTGACAGAAGTGATGTTTTGTCACGCAACTGGCCCCCTGAAGTGCTCTACAGCCATGCCCTGACAGAAATGAACAGCTGCAGAGTGCTTTAAAAGTACCCGATCATGTGACAATCTGAACCCTCATCATATGAGGGTTCAGATGAAGGTGCTTCGGAGTGGAGCTCCTTCATTAACTTCTATCAGTCCCTGCCAGAAGCAGGGCCAGGCTGATGTAACCAAGTCCTGCCCCCAGTACTGTCTTCAGAATGGGAAGGGGAGAAGAGAGGGGAGTGAGCTCGGGCTGGGGTTTGCCACTGGAAGGTGGGGTGGTTGGATTGGAGCCCTCCACCTCGGCTTAAAAATTGAGCTGGGCTCTTCCTGGGCGGGGTGTAGGCCAGGGCTGTGCTTGGGGCAGGCGGCTGCAGTGTTGGGAAGGGGGGGGGTTACAGCGAATTTTGAGGTGGCTGTAGCCCTGGCCCAGCCCCCACACTAGGAAGAGCCCAGCTCCAGCCTGTAGTGGCAGCCCACCCTTGCCCCACACACAGATTGGGGGGCACATGCCCCCTATGGCTCCCCTGAGGGTACATGTAATGTCAGGAACTGCTTCCCCCTCCCCGTGCCCCATTAATGAGCCTCTCATGGCTCTGTCCCACCCCCTACCCTGCCCCACCCCCTTCCTCACTGCAGGGGCCTCAATCTGCCCCTTCCCTCCCCCGCACCTCTCTCCCCCAACAGACTTACCAGTTGGATGCTACCCTCCAAGCTTCTGGGCTGCATATCAGCAACCAGATTGGTATTGGCCAGTATGGCTAATTAATAATCTGCCATTGGTATTGACCCAAAAAATCTTTATTGGTACACCCCTATACTTATCAGTGCACTGAGACTCATAACAGGCTGCATAACTTACACACATGCGCGCGCGCACACACACACACACACACACACACACACGTACTCTTAGGCATTAGACCAAGTGCCTTAAGAAGACAGACCCTAACATCACTACTGGCAACAGAGGCAAGAGATGACAAAAATCACCTGTTCCATCAACTATTAACTGATGACTGGAATAGATGGAGGCTTAAAAGTCACAAACCATTTATACGTGAAGCCCTCTAGCTCCTGGAAGAGACTGGGAATGCTGAGTCAAACTTATGGGCAGCAACGGAGTGGACCAACCACTGGGAAAAGTCACACCTATCCCTACAGTGCTTTAGACCAACACCAAACAGTCCCCACATTGGGTATGACCTTGACAGAGAAGCATGAGTCAAGCTGAACAGACTGAGGTGGATATGGATGCTTCAAAATATTTTGCAAGATGAACATCTTGGACAGCCCCCTGTGTGAATACAG